CGTCTAAGGTAAGCGGAACACACTCTGGCCCTGGTTTTCCATCTCTTTCATTTTATGGATAAGCCCCTGTGTGTTTTAATACTGTAGAAAGCGCCATCAGATGACAAATACAAATTCTACACAAATGACACTCAAACATTATTGTTCACAAACCTTAAGTAAATAACAATCATTAGAATTTGGAATGACAGACATGCTTTTGTTATGTTATCTAACCAGATTTAAATAAGTCGAAAATATCTATATTGAACATATATAATAAGCATAGAAATGTTCCATAGACAATTGAGAGGATCTGTTTTTGTTGTTGCTGTTTCTTTGTCAAAACACAAATGTGTAAAAGCAAGTATATGGTTTTTATTTTGTTTCTCTCTAGTTTTTAAAGTTGTTTGTAGATGCACATATAAGTATGTTAAGTATTATATTCAGGAAGCCATTTTCACATCTTTATTCGCTTCTGTTATTCCATGTGGAAATTCTATGATATTCTTACCATTAATGTGATATATCATATCAAGTGTGAATACACGAAACATGAAAATATAAGATGTTTAAAATACTAGGTGACGTCCTATATTGTTTTCCGCAAGATCTAATGTAACGACTCAAACCTCTAGGTATCGAACAGCGGAGCAGGGAGACAGCCCGTGGCGAACTATGCGCGTCGACCCAGATGAAGCCACCACTTTTACCATATACAACCTTCAGCCAAGCTCGGAGTATGAGTTTCGAGTCCTTTCCCGTAACACCCTTGGAGATGGAATGTACAGTCCCACAGTTACCGCTAAAACCAGCCGTGAGTTTGACTAATATTAGATGTATCATTCTTAAACTAAATGTATTTCATGTTACAATCTACATTTCATTCTATGTTGATTTATTGAACATAGTCTCCACCCAAAAATAAATCATAGACAAAAGGAATAGTGAATTATAGCGTGTTGAAATGTCGTTGTCTTTCTCTAGCTTGGGACTATCTTGGAGGTGTATACCCCACTGATGCTTTTGGAGCAACATATATTCCCACGGTACTAAAACCATCCGGTAAGTTAACAGTCGATTTTAGTTTAATTAGATTTTGTTTATAGAATCTCAACTAATTAGTAATTACCTAATTTACAAGTAAAAATTTACTTTATACATCTTGGTTTACACATGTCAGCCAACAAGCACTGTGTCTCTCATAGTTTATTGCACAGAACAGATAAACAATCGTTAAAATTTACACTACTTGAGCTATGACAG